GCCACCTCACCTGGCTAGTTTTTTTGTATTTTTTAGTAGAGACAGGGTTTCACCCTGTTAGGCAGGATGGTCTCGATCTCCAGACCTCGTGATTCGCCCGTCTCGGCCTCCCAAAGTGCTGGGATTACAGGCTTGAGCCACCGCGCCCGGCCCAGATTTCTTATAAAACAAAAATCCATTAAGAAATATTTCAATGTACATTTGTACATTCAATAAATGTACAAATTTTTTATTTCCTTAATATTTTATTTTCTTCTTCTTATTATGTTATACAGACAGGGTCTCACTTTGTTGCCCAGGCTGGTCTCAAACTCCTGGCTTTAAGCAATCCTCTGCCTTGGCCTCCTAAAGTGCTGAGATTACTGGCAAGAGCTACTGCCCCTGGCCTGTTTCCTTAACATTTTATAAGCAAACTGTTTACATCCATTTACTGTGCAGAGTTAAAGCTTAGAGGTTTAATGTTAAATATCCTTTAGTAAAATTTCTGATATACATCATGAAGATGTAATTAACTGAATATCCACATAACATTATATATTGATGTATTAGTTAGAACAAAGTACACATTCCTACGAAATTTTTTTTCTACATTTTTCAAATAATGAATGTGAAGGACAGTCATTTCTTAGCGCCATTTTTTCTTTCAAATGGAAAAGCATAATATATATTTTATCTACATTACTTGAATGGCTGTTGAATAATTCTTTAGACATTGAAGGGTGAAAATACTTATTACAGAAAAATTACCAACAATTTTAAAACAGTGGATCTTTTGGAATAAAGTTTTTTTAAAAATCAAGAATTTAACAGTAGGTACTTAATTAAATGTAGACATAACTGGGCTTTCGGAAATAAGTTCAAAATTATTACAAATTATGAGATGAATTCTTGTTAATAAATGACAGTTTTGCTGGGCCAGATAATATTATTATTAATAAACACTGTAATAAACAGAGCTTGCTTTCAAGCAAGTCTGCAGTAATAGACTGTCAAGAACCTCTGATATTTATAGGCAAAGTGAAAACAGCAGAGAACAAATCTCCATTGTAATTCAAAATCTATTACTAGTGAAGTAACATTACTGAAGTAATCACCTTCCCAAACCCCTATTTTGTGTTGTTAAATAAATCTGTATACTGTATCATTTGTATACATACTGTACCAAAATGAATAAAATATTTAAATATGTAACTGTCATCTTTAGTTTTTAATTTCTGACAAATATCCTCCTTTTTTTCCAACAAGCGAACTGTCTTCCAGCATCCAAACTAGTCAATTCACAGTTCTCTTTTTCCTATGAATAGCTGTACCTACAAGCACTCTAAGAGCCTGTCTGGATTTTTAGTGCAAGAGAGAACAAACCGCATAAGTGACTTCTTTTTATTCCCCCACAATCTTCTAGATAAATTAAAAGGGCTCTTTAGGAAAATGTTTGGCAAATCTGTATTCCATAGGATGTCCTTTGACTGGACAACAAAGGTTTTTCATTATCTGGCTCCATACTATCTATCTAACATTAATTCCCTCTCAACTGCAACATAAATGCCCCACTTCTGCCAATACATTCTCCTTACTATTCAACAAATATGATACTCTTCACTCCAAATTCATATCGTTTCACCTTCCTAAAATAAATGTTTTTCTTTCTTCTCCTCTAATTAGGCCATTCCTATACATTCTTTAAGGTCCAGTCAAGTTTTCCTCTATTTACAAGACTATTAACTGTCACTCTGGCCTGCATTTCTTTCACATGGCTCTGATTTTTTTTTTTTTTTTTTGGAGACGGAGCTTCGTTCTTGTTGCCCAGGCTGGAGTGCAATGGCATGATCTCGGATCACTGCAACCTCCGCCTACCGGGTTAAAGCGATTCTCCCGCCCCAGCCTCCCCAGCAGCTGGGACCACAGGCATGCGCCACCATACCCGGCTAATTTTGTATTTTCAGTAGAGATGGGGTTTCTCCATGTTGGTCAGGCTGGTCTCAAACTTCCGACCTCAGGTGATCTGCCTGCCTCAGTCTCCCAAAGTGCTGGGATTACAGGCGTGAGCCACAGCACCTGGCCACGCCTCTGAATTTTTATAGCATATTGTATATATTATAGTTTTGGTATATCAATACAATTTTATTTATTTATTTTTTTCTTTTGAGATGGAGCTTTGCTCTTGTTGCCCAGGCTGGAGTGCAATGGCACGATCTTGGCTCACTGCAAGCTCCGCCTCTCGGGTTCAAGCCATTCTCCTGCCTCAGTCTCCCAAGTAACTGGGACTACAGGCGCCCGCCACCACGCCCGGTTAATTTTTTTGTATTTTTAGTAGAGACGGGGTTTCACTGTGTTAGCCAGGATGGTCTCGATCTCCTGACCTCGTGATCCGCCCGCCTCGGCCACCCAAAATGCTGGGATTACAGGCGTGAGCCACCGCAACCGACCTACAATTTTAATTTTTATAAGTTATTTTAAGTATTTATCTCACAAACTGGTCTGCAAGGGCAAGGGCTACAATTTAGTATATTTTGCTGCTTACTAAGAAAGCATTTAGTAAATTCATAATTATTCATGTCAATGAATAATGAACAAACAAATTAACAAGTGCTATTTTTGTCAATTTATCATGATAACAGTAAAATTCTTTGGGTTAAATGAAATATTTTTGATATCTTACTTTGATTTTTTTTAAATACAAGAGAATTCTTTAAATGTCCGTAACCACTTCTTCCCTGATGTAGCTTTTAGAAAAAGATACATATATGAATTAAGAATTAAATATTCCACAAGATCTAATATATCAAGTTATATATAAGGCTGTTGTGTTAAATTTCATTATTCTAGTATATGAAAGACCTGAGAGACCAGTAGGCACTACTTTCCCAAGAAATTATACTTGTCTGAGAACCCACTCAGTAAATAAGGGCAGTTTTCAACTGGGTAAAATACCTAGTTCATTCAACTTACTTAGTTGAAAACATACATAAGCAACATACAAAATATATTTTAATCTATTCTATTGCAAAATGATTTTAGACATAATTATTTTATACTGAAAAACAGCATAATTTTTCAGAAGTAAAATTAAGGTCATTTAAATTTATATACTTATTATTTAGAGAATAATCCAGCAAAGAGTACTACATTGGTAAAACTGGATACCTAGAAAGTCAGAGAATCCCAAACTTAGAGCAAAAGGTCTGACTGATTTATAATATTTTGGAAATACATTTCACTGCTTTACTTGATTTTCAAGTAAAATTTTCAACTTTTATAATATAAAGAAAATATGTAAGTGTTAAATACAATGTCCTATTAGAGTTAGTGTTGTCTTTTTAATAAATCCTTTTAAATGATACACTGTCACATACATTATTGATTACATGAAAATATTAAATAACCAATAATACTTTTAATTCCATGAATACCTACAGGGCTTACAAATGGATGCAAATACACATACGTCAATAAATCATTATTATTTTTTATACTTATCTTGAATTTAAATAACATTATCCAAAAAGGCAAATAAAAATAAAGCAAATATTTTAAAATTCTAGTCTTCATAAATCTATACTGGCACTGGATATATGATAGCCTGCAAATCTCATACTGCCATATAGAAAACTGGAATTGTAACAATGATTCATAGACTATTATTTGGTGGTATGAGATATTTGTTCTTATAAAAAATAATAATTCATATCAGTATCCTGAACATATTGTCAATGGTATCATACTACTAAATTTTATGTTTTACTTAGAAAAAAATCAAGATATTGGCTTCTATCCCTAAATGTTTGAATTTTCTCAAAGAAATTAAAAAGAAAAGGAGAAACTTACAGGCTGGATTAAGGCAGAAAGCCAACAGACCTTATACTTCAGTGCTTATTCTGTAAACTCTTAGCCCCAGGTGATTTTAACCCAAGTCTTTAACTATACTTCTACTTTTAAGCTCTGGATAAAGTCACAGTATTACTTTCAAGAATTCAGTCTTCAAACTATTCTTTGTATTCACTGAGGGTAAAAAAAATAAACACAACTATAAATGGCTGTGAAAAATAAAATATCCACTGATATTTACAGCTTTAAAATATTTATATTCTCTCATGTATACATTAAGGGATACTTCCTTTAAGACTTATGAAGGGTATAAACTGAACCATTTGACATTGACAACAAGTATAATATGAATACTTTTGTATAGAATAACAACTACCTACTCATGATTTAAACATAAAGGGATTTTTTTAAAAAAAGTAATTAGTATAAAATTAGACATTAGTCTATAATTTGAAAATATATTACCTAATTATCAATTTCTATGTTTATATTATTCAATATTATATTTATCTATATATTACTAAAATTGTAAGATTCATAACACTATTCAGTATAAGAATACTTATTAAATTCAGAAACATGAAATTAATAAGACTTTGAGCTACGTTTCAAATTTATTACAATGAACATGAGTATTCTGTAAATTAAATATTCTGTGAATTAATGAAGAGTAATACATTTGTTTTGAAGCCATAGTCTGTGATAGTAAAATTAAGTCACAAATTAAGATACTAATTATAAAAGGGCAAAGGTAGAAACAATAATTATGAACATAATAAATTTATAGATGTAAAAGAGTTTACGGTGGAAGAATCCACCTTACTTAACATGAAATAATGTCATTTTCCCCCTACATCATGTCAGCCATTACTCAATCTTAAAAACTCACATGAGTTTTTCCCAAGTAAATTTTTTTTACAAAAAATCTCATACATTAAAAATGAACACTGGCCCTTTATGACATATGTTTAAGTACTACATAAGTTACACAAAACACAATAACTGATTTGTAACAAACAACTGTATGGTAGGTACATAAATTTACTATACATTTTTTTGATAAAATATATAGAACATGACAATAACAGGAGCCTCTATGCATAATAACTATCCTGAAAACTACAAATATCACTAAAAATAGGGTATTAGAAATTTTGAATGTGTCATTGCAGTACTTATACTTTATTTAAAAAGTGATATAATTTTAAATAGATTCAATTCCTATAAATTAAGTTTGTGTCCATAAATTTAAAAAGGGCAATCACTAAGAGTCACATAAGTGTTCCTCAATGTAACACTAATAAATGAATAATTCAATTGATCAATAAATTAATTGATCGATCTAAGGATGAGACCTTGATAGTCTTTAAATAACTAAATAACAACTCTGGTATGTTTTATGTATGCTTAAAATAAAAGTTTTATGCTAAGACTTTAAGGCTTCTTTTGTAAGGAACTTATACTATGCTGTGGATATTTCCCTTTGATTTCTCAACTAAACACTCACTTGTTTGATGCGATCTGGATTAACGGTGGTCTGGGGTTGTAGAATGCTGACTGGTTCTGTCTTGGCCACATTTTGGGGCATTTCTCGAATTTTTTCTGCAATGAATCCATGAACTGCATTCAGTGCTTCAACTGTTCCCTGGATCAAGCACACTCGCTCAGTAGTACCTGTGGATAAAAGATTGATTTTCAGAAAATATTCCATATTTTGCATTAAAAAAAACTCTGAAAAAGGATGATATCATAATGCCAAAAAAATGTAAAATGCAGAACTCTAATTTAAAAACATTTAATTGCACCAAACATAATATATACATGTCTCTTATGATTCCTTTTATAAATTCTTTTCTAGTTGTTTTAGTCTCAAAAGGGGTATATGGATTCCAGCTGAATCAGAGATCCAGAGAAGTTGTGAACATATCGCTGATTCATTGACATAATAAATATTTATTGAGTACTTAAAAAAGAACTTAGGGTTAGAAACTGGTAACATGCCAGTAGAGATCAATAAACCCAGTTTTCAAAGAGCTTACTCTTTTGGGGGAAAAAACCAGAGAATTGTAGGACATTACAATCTGAAAATAATGGTGGTAACAATATAGATAGTACATTTGTTCCATCACTTACCATGTTCTTCCTTTAATCATAGCAACACTCGTTACCTGATATTTTACATTTACTTTTTCACTTTTTCACTAGAATATAAACTCTAGGTGGAGTGTAAATTTGTTTTGTGCTGTAGTATCCTCAAAGTTTACAATAGCTTCTGATGCATAATAGGTACACTGTAAACATTTGTTGGATAAATGAATCAGTGCTGTCTTTATTGATGATATAATTTTAATAAAAAATATTGGGACTAAACATGAAATTTAAATAGTTTATGAAACTTGAAATTCATAAATGTTAAAGATATTAATAGTATTTATTTCATATCTTGTGAATAAAATGTAAATATATGATGCAAGACAAGACTAAGGTGAAATTGGGTCTAACACACAGGTCCTATCGCCTATTTTATACTTTACAGATATACATTAAGGCAATAAAAATAAATTAGTTTTTCAGACTATTCTGAGGCTTATTGTAGAAGCCTGGTATTCCACTGTAATCTTCTCAGTGTCCCAACATAACATACGAACTTGCTTCTAAGAAATAAGTATTTCTTTTCTAAACAGTTGTTAAAATGTTAAAAAAAATGGGATTTTAAAATTTATAAAAGATTTTTTGAATTAATGGAAACATTTTCAATTACCTAACATATTTCCTTTTGGTGCTACAGTTTCAAAATTCCAAGGTACTTTGTAAAATGTTTTAAAATGCATTCTGAAGGGCAAATTTGTGAAACTACAAATATTTAAAAAGTTGTAAGGAGTTTATACTGTTTTAAAGATTCTGACACCAAGACCAATTTTCTAGTAGTTTTGAAATTAAAATAATAGTAAAAGAATATCATTAATACTTCTAGAAGACAGAATTAGATTACAGGAATTAGAAGCAGAAATAAAAGAAAAACTTAGAGATATACCTAAATAAAATGGTCATGTTTTAAACAAGGAAAATTCAAATCTACAAAAATCTAAGTCTTCTGGATTTTACAAAATATTTCAACAGAAAATATATATGGCTTTCATTTGTAAGGGTGGATAAAGCCTGAAAAACCTAATGTGAGTCTGTGGGTTTAATTTTTCCAGTTTCTCTTAATCAGCTTTTCTCATTCTTATCTATCTTGATGTATATTGTGGTTCCTGCAAAAAAATGATCTAATTTATGGGGATACTCTAGGGAGTCTTTACAAGGCAATGTATTAAGTGCCCAATAAATGACTAGAAAGGAACTGATCAATGTAGCTCATACAAAGTGTGTTTATCCAGGTCAGCAGACAATATGAAACAGAGATCAGATTACATTCTTGTTTCTGAAGACAACTACAGAGTGCTCTTTTGTGGATGCCAAAACAGTCTAACTTAAATAGAGATGAAAG